GTTCTCGCTCGGCTTGCCATCCGCAGTCGCCATGAGGAGGAACCATAGGCTATCCCATAGGTCGGCCAGGTCCGCCGCGGACAGAGGCTGGGGAAGCCTGCCCGCCGCCGACGCCACCAGGGCGTTGAAGTAGTCCGTCGGGACCACTTAGTCGTCTTGCCCTACCGGAATGCCCGAGTACTTTCGGCCCGCGACCGCCGTGACCGTGGCCGTGGTGATGGGCGGGTATCGCCTGGTGCCCTGGTCTGGTGTGCGGAGCGTGGTGTCTGCCCCCCCCAGAACCTTGGCCTTGCAATCCGCCTCCTTGGCCGCTCCTCCCCCGGGGCCAGAGGCACCCAAGGGGGGGGAGCAACCCAGCTGCTGGATGAGGTCCTGGCAGTAACCCAACCTGTCGTACAAGGCCCCCGCCGCCTCCTGCGGGACCTGCTCGACCCAGTCGTGGACCACGTTGCAGCGCCAGTTGACCTTCACCTCCACCATCGAAGACTTGCTCAGGCCCGCCACCAACTTGGTGTAGACCGAGTCGAAGGCCTTCAGCGATGCCAGCGGGAGGGTGATCCGCTCGTCGCAGACCGCCCTGAAACGCAGCGCCTCCTTACTGTCGTGGACGGGGGCCACTGGGATCTCCATCACAGGCAACGGGCAGTTGACGATCAAATTCTTGGCCGCCAAAAACGTCCCCATCTCCTTGAAGATGTAGCTCCATTCCGCCTTGCTGCGCGGCTTGGGGATGCCCAGGCTCTCCAGGAAGGGCACCGCCTCCTTCCTCATCTGGAGGATGTTGCCCATCCACTTGTCCGAGGTCGAGCCCTCCGCATTGCGGCCCCGGCGTTGCGTCTTCACGATCAACGGGAAAGTGGTCCAGGCCGAGTAGATGTACTTGAAAGTGAACCTGTGGGCGTACACCCCCGTCAGGCTCGGCAGGTCCCACGTTCTCGTCTGCCTGGTCCAAAACACCCCATCACCTTTCGCCCAGAAGATCCCCACCACCTGCTCCGGCGCCGGGCGCTCGCCCCGGTTCACCAGCGCTCGGATCTCCAAGGCCGTGTAGATGACTGGGTCGATGTGGTCCTGCTCGCACGTGAGTGGGTGAGTCCTGTGCTCCAGGGCCAGGAGCTCCTCCGGAGCTTGAACTGCTGGTCAGCGCCCCTGGGGATCTCACCGCTTGCGTGCTTCTTCCAGGTCCCCCCGGAGCTCTCCCTGGTGCCTCTTCATCGCCCAGAGGAGCAGGGACAGCTTGCCCTCCTCCGAGTCCAGGTCCTGCTGTGACATTGGCTGGTCCCCCCCGGGGCCAGTGGCACCCTTAAAGGGGCCGGTGCCACCAGATCGGGCATCTCCTCCAGCAGCGCCTCCTGGTGCCATGGGTTCTCTGTAGGGGACATACTTCTCCTTGATGTCTCCCACCTGAAAAATGTCCTCAGGTACTGGTCTTGCAGCTTGGCCTTGAATCGCTCCAGGTTGACCTTCCTGGCACGGGCTCCCTCATTGGCCACCTCCTCTGACGGCAGGGCCTGCATGCCCTCCTGGAGAGGCGCCAGGATAGCCATCTCATTGTCCAGCATCTCCTCCGTGACCAACTCCTTGTGCCGCGCCTGGCCGAGGACTCCTCCGGGGTCGGTTCCCGATGCTCCCTCAATGCCTTCTGCAGCTCCTCCTTCTTCCGGATCGCCTGGTCCACCTGGGGGTGGTAGAGCTGGAAGCTCTGAGCCTCCGCCTCCTTCAGGGACCGCTGCACTTTGACCTTGATCTCCTGGCATTCCCGGACCTTCAACGCCTCGTCGTCCGCCTCCATGGACAGGATCTCCTGCCTCCTCTGCCGTGTCCGTTTTCGGAGGAGCTCTCCCCAGGACCGTGCCGTCCACCAGGTTGCAGTCTGCCTGTGCCCGGGTACCACCGGGGTTAGCGGCACCCAGGCTTCCCCCTTCCCGCTGCTGGATCCAGGTCGGCTTGCCCTCCACGATGAGCAGGTTGTAGGTGATGCCGTCCGCCTCATAGGTGGCCGAGGGTGCCTGGAAGGGGACGAACTCCTTGCCTGGGCAGACCCAGCACTGCTTGGCTGCCTCTGGCCACCCCGTGCCGCATGCCTTGCACATGAACTTGTAATCGGAATGGCCTGCATCGAGCCTGTGCATTCGCTGGGTGCCAATGCACGCCTTGTTCCTCTGGAACTGCGAGGCCCAGACCTCCTCCTGCCGGATCTGGATCTTCATCGGGACATAGGCCTCCAGGATACGAATCACCAGGTCCTCCGTGAGATTCTTCCCGACAAACTTGTGGAACAGGGAGACCGCCTCCTCCACCGTGACGTCCCTCAGCAAAGTGGCCGCCGATGCCGGAAGGACCGGGAAGAGGTCTGGGAGGTCCACCAGCTTGAAGTAACCGGGTCGGCCCTCAACCGGCACCAAGGAGACCGGTTTGTTCACATGAGCCGTGGTCTTCTGGGAAGCCGCCACGAAACCCCTCAGCCTCTTCGTGGGTGGTGTCTGTGCCTCCTCCGGTGGAGTGGACCGCTCCGTGACGTCCGCATCTTCCATGTCCTTGTCCTCCTCCTCGGCGGGGCCAGGGGCACCCATGTGTGGCAAACGCCACACGGAGCCGCTCCAGCGCACTGGAGAGGTCCTTCATCACGTCGGTAGCCGAAGCCGACGGGGGGGCCTCGGGCTCGTCCAAAACCAGGCCGGCCGCCACTGCCGCCTCGCGTGTGCGAATTTCCTGGGCCTCCTGGCTGGCCATTTCAACCTCCTCCACGGTGAGCGTCTGGTCCTCAATCAGCTCAAAGGAGGTGGCCGAGGTTGCCGAGGAAGCCATTGCTTGATCGGGGTTAGTTCGAAAGTGTCCAAACTCAATTTTTTTTCACACAAATTGGGTTCTAGGAACCCAGGGCAAAGCTTGAGCCAAAATGGCACATGCCATTATGGTCAAGCATTTCAAACACAGTTCATGTTTCCACATGCGTTTCAACATTAACAAAACATTACATTACATACATACATACATACATTACATACATACATACATACATTACATACATACATACATACATACATAGATACATACATACATACATACATACATTACATACATACATTACATTACATTACATTACATTACATACATACATACATACATACATACATACATACATACATACATACATACATACATACATACATACATACATACATACATACATTACATACATACATACATACATACATACATACATACATACATACATACATACATACATTACATACATACATTACATACATACATACATACATACATACATACATACATACATACATACATACATACATACATACATACATACATACATACATACATACATACATACATACATACATACATACATACATACATACATACATACATACATACATACATACATACATACATACATACATACATACATACATACATACATACATACATTACATACATACATACATACATACATACATACATACATACATACATACATACATACATACATACATACATACATACATACATACATACATACATACATACATACATACATACATACATACATACATACATACATACATACATACATACATACATACATACATACATACATACATACATACATACATACATACATACATACATACATACATACATACATACATACATACATACATACATACATACATACATACATACATACATTACATTACATACATACATACATACATTACATTACATTACATTACATTACATACATTACATTACATTACATTACATACATTACATACATACATACATACATACATACATACATACATACATACATACATACATACATACATACATACATACATACATACATACATACATACATACATACATACATACATACATACATACATACATACATACATACATACATACATACATACATACATACATACATACATACATACATACATACATACATACATACATACATACATACATACATACATACATACATACATACATACATACATACATACATACATACATACATACATTACATACATACATACATACATACATACATACATACATACATACATACATACATACATACATACATACATACATACATACATACATACATACATACATACATACATACATACATACATACATACATACATACATACATACATACATACATACATACATACATACATACATACATACATACATACATACATACATACATACATACATACATACATACATACATACATACATACATACATACATACATACATACATACATACATACATACATACATACATACATACATACATACATACATACATACATACATACATACATACATACATTACATACATACATACATACATACATACATACATACATACATACATACATACATACATACATACATACATACATACATACATACATACATACATACATACATACATACATACATACATACATACATACATACATACATACATACATACATACATACATACATACATACATACATACATTACTTACATACATACATACATACATACATACATACATACATGCATGCATGCGTACATACATACATACATACGCACACACTCACAAAAACACAAACAATCAAACAATCAATCAACCAATCAAACAAACAAGCAAACAAGCAAGCACGCAAGCCAGGAAGCAGTAAACAACACACACACATGGAGCTAACGAACAATCAAACAAACACACACACACAAACATGCAATCAATCAGTCAATCAATCAATCAATCAATCAAACAAACAAACAGACAACCAAACAAACAAACAAACAAACCAACAAGCAAGCACGCACGCACGCACGCACGCAAGCAAGCCACAAACACCCACACACACAGAGCTAACAAATACACCTTAACATACAAATACAGACATCTGCACAGACACACACACACATTAAAGTCGCGCTAGCCGAGCGTCCCTTCTGTGCCTTCAGAGGTCGTCCCGGACTCGCCAGATTCAGATGATGCTCGTCGTCCTCTAGCTTGAGACTGATGTAGGACGCCAATTGATTCACGAAGTCGTCCATCTCCTGTGCTCACAGGGTATTTTCCAGGTGGGTCATAACCCAACCAGTGTCAGGAAATAATCCCTTTTTATGGGTGTGAAGGGAGCGACGCACTAGATTCAACATGTTGATTTAATTATTCAACCTCATACCAGCACCACGCGTTCCATCAGTTCCACCAAACATGTAGCAACAGCTTCTGCAAACTGGTCGTGGGTGCTTACCACGCACAAGAATTAGCTCCCGTTGGCAGGACCGCTGGCATGTCATTTCTTAGAGGTGTCATCGCAGAGAGATTGTTCCGAGAAATGTCATGGAAAGATTGCTCACAGAGATTGCCCTGCCTGTGCTCGGGGAGATTGCTCAAAGAGACTGCTTCGAGAGCTTGCATATGCCACTTCGAGTAAACTGTTCACCAGTGCTTCTCTTGGTGGTGCTTTGCGCAACCCTTGCTGTGGATCGTGAATTTGTAAAAAAAAAAAAACAGCACATTTTGAGGCGTATCCACTCAAAATACCAGGCAAAAGAGCTTGATGCAAGAAGGAGGCTGTCCTGATCAGACAAGGCTCACCAAAATAATAAGGAAGCATGAAGAACTCGACCTGCTGATGTTGCCCTCCAAAAACTATCTTTGATTTTGGGCCGAAGATAGTGCAAACAATGTAACATGAACTCACAAGCAACCCCAGACGTCCACCGACCATCCCACTGACCCGCTCACTGACCGACCTTGAACTCACCCGACATAGGCCATCATCCGTAACCACCCTCAAAAAAACATCCGCACCCTGCACACGTGAAAATCACGGTCCTTGAGACGACTGGTTGCTCCAGCAATGGAGGATTCCTCTCCAAAAAGCTATATACCCTCCACCCAAAATAGATCCCACCAGCCCAGCCGTCCTTTGAACCCCACCTCCTTGTCGCCTCTTTCGCCGTTTGCTCTTTTTTGTTTGTTCGCCTCAGGAATCCTCGGATCCGCGGTCTGCGCGCTCGTCTCGCGCGCGTCTCCTGCACGGTGTATCTGGTGAGCCCCAGGGCCTCCACGGACTCCTGCAGCGCTCGGCCCGTGATCAGCGCGCGGCTGCTGACCTTCATGAAGCCTCGGCAGCACGTCGCGCGAGACATGCGCGGGGCGACGCGTTGCGAGGCGGTTCGGCCAGGGCGAGCTGAGCTCTGAACAGGGGCATGTTCAACTGCTCACACCGGTTTTGGGGGTGGTGTGGTTTGGGGGGGGCTGAGGGCGGTGGTGTGTGGTTGGGCTTGTGTTCTACCTTGTTTTTGGGGGACTCGGAGGTGACATTTCATCTCTCCCAATGGCACATGGGGGGGATGGAGCGATCTCCACACCTGCGATTCACGGCGGGCTGGGTAGACGCGGTCTTTGCGGCCGCAAACGGCGACTCCTCATCTCCGTCTCAAACAAAAAGGCCCCGCCCACGGGGACGGCCAACTTTCCTTTGCAGTCGGTTGGTAACAATGGAGAGGCCCCAAAGAGAACCCCTAAAGGAACTTCAGCCCTATGCCGGCCTGTTGATATTTCTCATCCAGATTTTGGGGATGCTTCCCCAGAGCTCCAATGGGTTGGAAATGAAGCGGCGCCCTTTGGGTGTTTTTTTGATCTTAAGGTGAGCACAAAGAACATGCCCGACTACAAGTCTAAGCTTTCTTGAGTTGAAGCCTTCCGGCAAAAGATCTGAAGCTCACCCCACCAAATGGCTGTGGGTCAAAAATAGGTACCCAAAATGGCACCCTGGGAAATGGAAACCATGACTAAAAATTGTGGTCCCCTGGTGGTTTAATTTTGACCCATACCCAAATCAGACCAGGCGTGCTCAGTCTACAAAACTGGGGTAAGGATACATTGCGACTTAAAGTGAAGCAAACAATAAAATGTACATTCACCTCACCAAATCAGACCGCCAGGTGAGCGAAGTGATCACGTCCTTTCAGGTGATCCGACTAGAAGGAAAAGGCAACCTGCTCCCCTACAAAACATGCAACCCAAATTAAGAGGGCAGCCGTAAAGGAGATTCCTCCACGGTTCAATCTGCCGAGTAAGAACATTTGAAGGTCTGAATCCATCATTTGGAGAGGTCCCTCATTGCAAATCCAAAATGCTGAGCCTGGCGGATTGATGGAGGAAAGCAACCACGGGCTCGTTGCCCGGAAGGTGTCCAATCAAATCCTAGGCCAATGAGTGGTTGGGCACTTCTGATTTCTTGGATGTTCTCCAGGACCGCTCAGTGTTGATTTCGAATCTCAGGCAAGAATGGGTGGGGCTAAAGTAATAAAGTGGCAAGAGTTATATAGGATCTTTGGATCCGTGGAGTTTCTGTCATGTAGGTGCCATCGCTGTGATTTGCAATTCCCTTGGTTGCCCTGAGCAAACCAGGAGCGCGTTGGCGTTGAAAGGGGAAAGCGCCGCAGTTGAGCGGGGATCATTCGCTTGCAGGGTGGCCACCTTCAAAGAGTCAGGCGCTAGACTAGAGCGTGGGGATAACCATTGTGTTTGATTAAATAACGTGAAGAAAAAACAGAAGACTTATTGCTACAATTATCAGCTGGTTGCCCAACGTGCAACGCCAGCACAGCTTAGCACAGGCCTCGAAATGGGCTTGAGACGACATCCTGCTGAAAACGAATCCGCTGAACCCTCCGGCTTCGCCCGAGGAGCCCAAGCGCAGACGCAAGCGCTCGATCACCGCCTTCGCATCCTGAGGAGGGTCCCATGGCCCGGTTCGGTTCCTTTTTCGCTTGCGCAAGCCAAACAAGGCGCCCTCGACAACGGAGTTTTGGGTTTAGGGTTTACCCAAGGGAACAACGAGACATTTTTAGAAGCCAGCAAAAGGAGGCGTAAACACTGCGATACGCTTGACACTCACATGAACATGGCACAACAATTTGTTTTGTCCTTTTCACAACTAGGTCCTCCAGTAGAGAGGTTAGAATAAGGGTACCCTTTTTTCGGTAGTCTATTTTTGCAGGGGAACCCTCCCCCAAAAAGGGGTGAGAAAGGGCACTACTGGGGGACCTAGACAATAACCAGACAGCCACCTTTGTTGGGGCCAGCCTCTTTTGCTCCTGCGCAACGTTGCTTTGCGGAATGCCCAACCCCCCCAGCCTGGCTCAGGGAGAAAATGACACCCAACCCAGCTTTTTGTAAGAGACTCCCAAGCTGCCCTCTTTCCAACAAGCACGGAAGTGGACACGCATGGTTTGGGGAGACTACCATCCTCTTCTTCAATTCGTTGCTAAACATCCAGAGTTGCAGCCAGAAGGCTTCGTACGACAAGGGTCCTCGCGCTTGCTGGTCATGATAAGCCAAGTGACATGGAAGTAGAGGTGTTGGGAAAAAAATAAAAATAAAATAAAAGAGAAGAAGAACAAAACATGGTGCTGTCTCTCGATCAAGACCACAGCCATTTTTTGCAGCTCAGTCCCCATTGGAATGGTGTGATTCTAAATCAAATGGATTCTAACACATGGCTCTAGGATGCTTCCCACATCACTGTCGTGTCATGAAAGCTCCAATCTGTCGGTCAAAACACTCTTTCGCAGATCCCTGAATCAGTTTGATTGATTGTGGTTGGCCAATAAAATAGCAGTATCAGCTTTGATAGGCTCAGACCACCAAACTCACTTCTTAGATTATTGACTGAATTACCCAACCAAAACGCGGGTTCAGACCCCAAAAGGTGACTAAAGTCCAGAAACTCAGGGAGTGAGATCACAAGTCCACCCTGAAAGGTAGGTTCACCGGGTTGAAAAGAAGCTCGTGGGGGTATCGTTCTTTTTTCCTCAGTATCGGTTTACAATCGGGTTTGCCCTGCAAAACAAATGTTAGGGGACGGCCCCTTACAGAACCGGGAAAAAAAAGAAGCGCGGGGTTGTTTTTTCAGCCTACCTTGGTTGCCCTTTGGAAACTCAACGGTGCAGGGCTGCTGTCCCTTCCGGCGTTCCAGTCGAAGACTCGTGGACAGACACGCCGAAGGGGTTCTGCTTCGCCTCGTAGCTCCGCAAGCTGCCCTGGGCGCGCGCCGTCGCGCCGTAGGACAGCCAAAGCCAGCGCCACGAGCCGTCGATTTAGGCCCCGGGTGAGGTTGTCAAAAGGAAACCGAAGGGAAACACTGGTTGTTGCGAATCCCCTATGTATTACAATGACCTACATACTTAGAATAGGATTTTTGGGTTAGATCGAAACCGAATTCAGATGCTGCGCGAACTTCTTCAGCCTCTGACATTCCATCTGACTCTCTTGTTGGCGTCGATGCGTGTCGCTAGCCCCATGTCTTGTTGTGCTTGGGACCTTCATGCTGGCCCCAAAGCCAGTTTGTCACGTCTCCGAAAGATCTAGACATAAACGGATTCTTGGGGACCCTTTGGTAGACGTCATGTGCAGGGAATATTGTGTGCACAACAAACATGTTTGAGGTCAAATTCACAACCAAGTCTCGCTGACCCAGTCAAACATGAACCAACTGTGTGCGTAAATGACCCCTGGAAAGGACCTCCTCGCACAACTGCTTCATCAGTGCCCTTTCTCACTCACATTCGATGATGGACCTTGAGACCACCGTCTATTGCAACAGCCAACACATCTCGTCTTGGTTGTGGGTAAAGCCATTGCATTAAAGATAGTACTACTGCTGCTGCTGCTGCTGCTACTACTATGGTAGTCAAAAGAGGGCTCTATGCAAGATTCGCTTGCATTGCACTTTCAGCTGTAAATTGTACATAGCATGGTAATAACCTTCAATAACCCTTTCGCCCAAGTGAAAGTGTAACTAGGTATGGTACCCAAACAGCCTATGGCTCAGCGCTTGAAATCAATATTGGACACAAAAAAAGACCCTGCCAGGTGAAGCAGCGGGCCAAAAAGACTCACCCTGCCAGGTGAACCGGTGACCACCGCGTCATGGTGTTTTCCCAAAGCGGGCCAACATGAGGACTCCTTGCCTTGGGAAGAGTCCCGGAAGGCACTGAAACTGGATATTTGCTTTTTTGGGGGGGTCGAAACCGATCATAGTTTTATTAGGTCCTCCAGATTTGAGAGGTTTGAATAAGGGCACCAACCTTTTTCAGGACGTCTATTTAGAGAAAGGGCACTACTGGGGGACCTAGTTAACTTGGCACCCGTGTGGCCTAGCAATGCCTTGCCGCGCTGTGTGTTGCCAACAGCTTGCCACGCGCGCTTTGCAACGGAACTTGGAGAAGTCGCTGTGTGCCATGAGCACCGCCCCAAAGCTTTTACCCCTCACCCCCCTTGGATGGAAGCGGTCGGGAGATACTGATATGGCTGTGGGTCAAAACCAATGGCACCATTTTGGGGCAGGTGCACCACCCATTTTAGTCTATTTTAGTGGGGACTGGGATGTTCACTGGGGATTTGACCCATGGCCATATCATCTCTGAGTAGTTGCAGCTTTTTTGTGATAAGGTTTCGGCGAACTGCTCTGTGTGGGTGAGGCCAATACAGGTCAAGGAACAATGATGGATTAAGTCTTCGATACTATGCATGTGTGGCGGTTTTGTTGAACAAGTATTCAAAGCCTCAACATGGAGTCTAAAGAAAAGGATAAAGGATATGATAACACGTTCTGACCATTCTGATTGATTGTGGCTTGTGAGGCTTATTACAGAAATGGACAAGCAAAGCAGCACAAATGCAAAGTCTCTCTCGCAATGGATAGCCTTGTCCATGCCAGCAAAGCCCTAAGGCTACCTATATTCAACACCGGCGCTGTTATCACGGCTATGTTGAATTCTCTGATCTGGCAAAATCCTGGGTACTCTGGGGAAAAAAAACTGAGGGTGACCCCCAGCATCACCCGCAACACCTGAATTTCCCATCTGTTCCACCAAACCTCCCGCATCACCTGACCTTGAATATCCCGCTCCAAAAATCAGGGCTGTATTTCAACAAAGCACCGGGCTGCCCTGACTGTCCCCGCCCCGGCTACGAACCACCAAGGACCGCTAAGAACAACTATGAGAAATCGAGGGGCTGGGATTTGCCAACCAGGTAGGCTGCAACTGCTCTTGCTGCTAAGAAATGGACCGCCCCTGGATTTGTTCGACCGGCCAAGAGGCAAATTGCGCCTTGAGTTTCTTAGCGAAGAGCCCCGTCAACCGAAAGGGCAGCTAAGAAATTGAGACCCAAAGTTTATTTGCCCCCTGACAACCTCCGGAAACAAGTAGTCGTGTTTCCAGCCCCCTCATGCCAACAGCCCTTGGTTTGTGGCACAAGACACTTTGTCCTGGCATGCGCTGGGGCTGTAAAGCCATCAAGGACGGAACATTCATGCTCGCTGAAGACCATTGCAGATCATCAAGCACTCTTCAGTACTGTATAGGACCAGTAAGAACCGTCAAGGTCCTATTCAAGACCACCAATGGCTAAGGGAAAACAAGGGCTATTGAGGGTGATATTTTGTCCCAAAAAATGGGGCTGGTTCCCTTCAGCTGTTTGCCAAACCGAAACCAGCTCAAACAATCAAGCCCCACCACCTTTGCTTGTCGTTTCAAGCAAAATAAACTGGTTGATCCAGGCACATACTGAATGAACCATGAGTATGAACCAAATGGTTCAACAGTTTTAAAAGACATCCCAAACACCTGTCCGGTGAGAGAACCACGCCCAACTCAGCAATATCTAACATGGCACACTCCCAATTCATCCAGCAGTTTGTTCCTGGGTGTCACGCCCAACTCTTCATACGCCTACTACCAGTACCACCCCTCAAACACACTACTCACACCTGCTTTGGTCTATTCTGGGCCTTTTTTGGGGTGTGTGTCTCTGACTTCTGGTTGAAGAAAATGGGGGGCAGTAACCCATCTCCCGGAAAAACAAGAAACAAAACTGGGCATGGGCCATGTCCGAATTTCCCAGGAAAAAAAAGGGGAAACTTCCGGCGAGCTCCGGTGACCTCCGCCCTTTTTTCTCCCGGACGAAAGCGAGCGCCACAAAACCTCGGCCAAAAAAAGGAAGCGCCGATTGCGGCCTCCGGAGTTGTGTTTCCCTTTTTCCCCGGGAACGCGAGCGCCACAAAAGACCTCCGGGGCCGGCGAAACCGCGGCGCGGTGGTCCGGCGGTGGTCCATGGCGCTGCCGCTGCTCACCTCCCGCGGCATGCGCCTCGAAGCGCGCGCCGAGGAAAAGAAAAAGAACTGGGGCCCCACCCGCCCGAAAAAGAATACATATATATATATATATGGAAAAAAGCGGTGCTAAAGAAAAAGGGATAAAACAAAATAACGGTGCTTATGCAGGTGCTTTTTTCTTAACATGGACCAAAAAGGAGAAACCAAAAGGCTTTGAAGAAGAAAATCCGGCTTCCGGGGAGTTTGGAAGAGATTCTAAAGGTTTCCCAAAACTCCAGGGATGCCTTCCATTTCCATTCTTTCCAGGGATCCTTCTAGTTGGCTCCCGCCAAAAATGGCCATGCGAATTAGTTCCAAGATTTGGGGCTCCGCAACAGAAATGGTTGGCTCGCTTTTGGCTCAACAACTTGGAAGTTGGAATTCCCTTAAAATTTATTGGCGGGAGTTCAGAGATTGCTGTTTTGAAGGGGAACCACTCATTTTGGAGTTTCCTCATGAGACGATTGTATAACCATTGAGGGGGTTTACAAGGACCCCAAAACGGTGGCCTCTCGGGTATGCAGTCTTAAAGCGATCTTTTGAAGCTTGACCAACTGTTACAAGCAAAGTGACAAAGCAAGCTATCTTAGCATGAATCTTAGGTGCTTTTACCATGTGTTACCCTTTGGACATCATTTGCAGGGAGATTGATGTCCATCCATTTGAGGAGGTTCAACTGGAAAGGTGGTCCTTCCATGGTCGGTATGATCGAAAAATCCTGTCCCTTACGCATCAATAGAAATGGCAGGGCACATGCCAAAGGGGACGCACCCGCACCTGTCTATCCTCAGATCTTCAGCTCAAAGTGTTTCGCTTTCTTCTCGGTGAAATGGACCAAAACCCCCCCAAGCAAGAAAAAACCAACTAAAGCCTCACCCCCCCCCCCCCCACCCAGTAAACCCTTAAACCCCCCCCCCAAAAAAAAAAAACGCCTCAGGGCATGGCCGGCTATGAACCGCCCCGAAACCTGGACGCTTCTGTTCAGCGCCCTTAACCTCCGAGGCGCCCCTCGGGACTCTCCAGGCCTGCCGGCAGGTCGTCAAACCTCACCGGGCCGAAGGCGAGGCGAAGGAAACGGAGGGCCTGGGGCCCAGGGGTTGGGCACCTGGGGCAAAAAACTAATTACCACCCTTCCGCACTCACTCACAGAAGGCACCTGTGAGGGTAATTACAGGAATTACCTGAATGATCAATTTCCTCTTGAAGGGATGTCAGGTGCCATGTTGGTGGGAGGGTATGCGTTGCCTATCGTTGCCTGCTCATTTAGAGCCAGACAAGAAACCGTCTTTTCCACCTGAGGACAGCTGCAACAAATACCGTCATTTCCATGGAGGTGGGAAAATGCAGGATCCAATGTGGCACAGCAACTCCCTTCCGGCTTCCTCAGTGCGACAGAAGGAGCTCCATCCCCATCCCTGTTCGTCAAATGCCGCAGAGGGAGGCTATTGGTCTAACCATTTGAACACGCGTTGATGCGGTTGTCCATCAACCAACGCCCAAGCATCAGCCCTTCACGTATTTGTTTCCGCTCGCAAAGAAGTGTAATGAAGTGTAGAGACACCCTAGGGTTCAACCTCCAATTTGGATGCAATTTGGATGATGAACATCCTTAGGAAAAAAAACACATGTGATTGCATTAACCCCCATTGTTTCACTGGTGGTTTGAACCCCAGAAGACATGAGGCTGTGCAACCGAACAGGGGCCTCTAAGTTGGATGTGTTGGACCAAAGACTTTGCTTGCCCATCGAAATGGACAAAGTTGCGGGATGGATACCTTCACATCTCGAAGCTGAGGATCCCCCTTTTGACTCACGCTGACGACACATTCAAAGACACCCTCCGTTGATGCGGATATCGACTTAGCCTGTCCTATCGATGAAAGACCTGCTCTGCGCATATGTAATGATGATCCTCAAAAGCAAGATCTTCAACATGTATTAAGCCGATCGTCGTGCTCTGTCTTGCTCTTGCTGAGAAATGCGCGTTTCCGCTTGCACGCACGGCGTTCACAAAGGAGCTTCTACCGTCCACCTTTGCACTATGCTTTTGTTCATACAACTTTCCACAAAACAAAATATTAACAGTCTCCCATCAAATTGCGCCTTTGTGGGGCCATGCAGTTGATTCCATCAAGCTCCATCAAGCACCTGCCGCGTAGGCAGCTAATCCTTGTTTTCGAGCCAAGAAATCAACAGCTTGCAAACTACAACTACGAGTCCTGCGCCCTATATCGCCCTATATTGGTGTCCAATCTGGCGTTCGGTTCAAAAGCCGAGACTTAGAACTCTTTATTCCATTCCCATGGGGCCTGGTTTGATCCCGCGCGAAACCAATTCGACACAAATGCGTGAGCGGTGCTTTCACCGCGGAAGCCGGATTTGCGCACGTCGGATCTCTAAACAGTCTCCAAATTCAAGTGACTTGAGAGGTGACCCCCAAAACCAATTCCATATGAAACAGGGATCCTTACATTATACACCTAAACATTGCCTTGTAAATGGTGGCTTCCCCTTATTTTGGTGAAAACGCAAAATGAATTTCTTGTAAGGAGCCCTGTGAAAAGAGTGGGGATATCTAACGCAGGGCCCACAGCTTGGGCCTCGTCAGGTCAGAGTGGAACTCTGGTAGGCCACCGGCCACGAACAAGATGTGAAATTCCCCCAACGGGAGATGGAAAATGTTGCGAGGAGCGTGTGGTTGCCCACTTCTCGGGTTTTTAAGACCCCACGGAGACAAACAGCGAAAACCAGACTTGGCCTGGTTCAGACCTTCCAAACAGCCGTTGCTTGGCTCCCACGGTACCAACCTACTTACGGGCACCCAACCTGGGGCATTCAGCCAAGGGTGTGTAAAAGAGGTACTCACACCTAGACAATCCCTTTGGTTTTCCCTCAAAGCAGCCTTTGGCTAGATTTAGGTACTTCGGTTTTTGACTCAAACTCTTAAAGCAGCCTTTAAAAATTGTTTAGGTACTTCGGTTTTTGACTCAAACTGACATCAAACCCAAAAGGTGTGCCCCCGCAAGCAGGATCCACTTCCATTCACCCACCACCAGGTCCTTGGTTTCCATCAAACCCCACCCTTCCATTTCCCCTTCGGGCAGCTAACTGGTCCATGAAAATGGCATCCTCAACGTTACCCGCCACAAATTGTGGTTTAATTGAGTTTCCCACTCAAGGAAAAGCCATACTGTGCACGCACGAAATCCTGCACCACCTCAGAATCCCTGGAATGATTCGAATACCAACAAACAATGGGTTCTCATGATTTCAAACTGGTGCGAAATGGATGTTGTCCATCCACAGTACGGGCTCAGGGCCGGTATGGTTCAAGTGGGAATACTGAGCATGGCACGCATTGCCACCCTGTTGGGGAAGAGTGATTTGGTCCAGCGAATTCTCCATGGAGGAGTACCTGCCAACGGTTGCGCCACCTGCTCCCCTGCGAAAAGTGACTAACTTTTAGCGCTTTAATACGGAAAACCCACTAGTTGGCAAAAGTTATTCGGTCCTAACATCCAAGCAAAATGCACCTACGTGGGGTTTTCTTGGTGGGTGTTTCCTTGCTGACCAATAGACCACAAGCATAGACTCCCCCCCACTCATGCGCCACAGTCTCCCAGGCTCCCGCACGTAGCGCCACAAGATCCCTACCGCTTTCTGCGCACGCCTCCGTGCGGTTCTGCTTCCGTGCCGCTCCCACGGCGGGTTTCCGTGCGTACTTCCTATGGCCATTGGTCAAAAGCCAAATCGTAGCCCCGGTGAGTGAACATCATCCCCAGTATAATAGACTAAAATGGATAGTGCACTAGCCCCAAAATGGCACCATTGGTTTTGACCCACAGCCACATGTCTCCACACACACACACTTTTTTCCCAGTGTGTGTGTGTGTGTTTTCGCACACTTCGTCTTATGCGGGGATTGCCGCGCGCTCGCCCCTCCCTCGCTGATTGTCTTGCGTGGCGCACCTTCGTATAAAAACCCTCTCGAATCTGTCATGTCAGGATGCCCAGCTTTCCGTTTTTGTTCAACTGCGTAGGCGTTGATGCCTATGCTTGAGGCTGAGTTTTCGCATGCGACACAGCATAACTACTACAGCACCATCCTTCGGCCTACACACATGCAGCACCACACCGCACACCTGTATGCGCGCCTTCACGCGCGCCGCAACTCCGCCAATGAGTTAAAGCATTGTGACCAGCACCCTGTCTCCAACCGACCAAGCACCGCCAGTCATCACCAGGACCAGCACCCAGCAACAGCACCGTGACTGACCAGCACCCGCAACCCCCTGGCCCGATGTCGCTGAACAAACCCCGCCTCTTTGGAAGAACGAGGTTCTTCTGAAAAGCCCTTGACAACAAGGGATTCCTGACATGGATGTGTCATGTGTCCCTATATTTTGTGAGTCGGTACAAACTTTACAGCTCCTCATTTGATGGTTCCACCCTTTGTTTATGGCGGGTTTTCCTCGTTTCCCTTGAATGATATTTAGCGAGAAGATGCTTCCAGCAGTGGGGGGTACACGGTTAGACTGCGCATCCCCATTTTGAATGCTCATACCCTTGCTTAAAACCTCAAACATCTAATGTGTTTGCGCATAGGCGGCATCCAACTTTGCATAACAGAAGTTCACCTCTAAGCGTCTTTTCACGGGCGCTGGGGAACCTATTCCTGCAACCTACCACTCAGGCGCTGGCTTTGATATAATGATCAAATAATAACAGGTGCGTGCTGACAATGGGTGCATAACGTTTGACCCGGATTAGGACATATGGCAAATCAATGTGAGTGATCCAAACCCCCTTTGGCCTGGGAAACCCCTACGGTTTAAACAGGCGTTTTTGTCCTAAATATTGAGGAACCTGTTGTAATTACTTGCCTAAATAATGCAAGTGAATCTGGCACGAGTCATGATAAATTAAGGGGTTTCCATTCTTCTCCACCTGCAATATTAGGGAATCAACTGCACGGTCTTCAAAAACAAGTGCGAAGGCGAAATGTCCAAAGTGCGTTCCAGCCAGCCTGGTCTCTAGCAAGGAGTATCGGCCGTAGCAACTTGCCCAGCTTGTGGCTGGTTGAGCGTAACTCCCTGTTTTTGTCGTGGATATGTGTTGAATTTTGAGATATTCTCTGACATACGGTCCCTTCTTCTAAGCTCCAAACATGGCAGTTTCGACTATACCCGAAAGTCACTGAACTCTCGAAGCAGAACTGCTGGGGGGTCGATTTCCCGCTTGACACCCAAGGGATACTAATTAAAGGGTTTCCCAACAAATCCGGGGGGGGGGGGGAACAAACGGTTCACCCGCCCACCTCAGAACGTCACATCCAAAACCGCATCGCATTTTCACCTTCCTGGATCGCCAGTTGCTGTTTTTTTCCATCCACTTTACCCCAAAACCCAGCAACAGAGACTGAAAAAACAGCAACTTGGATATCTAGGTTTGGCCTTTCCCGGTTCGGTTCAATGTAGCGGTTCGGTGCCAGGCTCAGGCCGACCTGTTCGAACCACTGGAAAGAAAGAAAAGCCTCTTTTCGCTTTTTGCTTTCCACAAACTTCGTCCAACCATGAACATGTTTTCCCCACAAGCTTCGTCCAACCATGTTTAAGCCGTTGTTTGTTAAAGCCGACCTCTTTTCTCGGTTTTGTTCTCCCCCGTTTTTTCGGTTCTTCCGACCCCGTTCCCGGCCTGGAGCCTTGGCCGATGTCATAAATCTCCAAAAGGTGGTCCCGCATAGAGTGCAGGGCATTGTCCAGCAGAGTAGAAAAAACTTCGCGGTCCATGGCGCCAACGCACGCCTTGGCCTACTTCGGTCCGTCCCTTGGCGGTTCTTTGCTCCTTTTTTCGGCCGAAAAAACGCGATCATGCGTGCGCAGTGCTTCAAGTCTAGCTCCGGTTTCGGACGTGCCTCTTGGACTTTGGGATTTGGGACGGCCGCTGGGCAACGGCCGCCCTAGTTGCGTGGCATCCTTCATAGATCAACACAGATCCCAAGAAACCTGCAGCTCCAGAATCGCCTGGGAGGAACCCTCAAACACAACTCCCGTTTTGAGCCAAGGTCTGCGAATGGCTGCGTTCCCCTAAAGCAAGGCCTAGGTCTTGGTGCTCCGATGGTCCGCAAGCCATCCTGTATATCTGAGCTGTCAAAATGTGCTGTTCCCAGGACGGACATGGACAAACTAGTGGGTCTCACTGGCTTGGCAAATTTCGTGCGTTCCTCAGTGTCCCTCCAAATGGACCGCCGACTGCGAGATACTGTGATCAAACCTCATTTAGAATGAGGTGCAACAGTCGAAAAGGCAGCAAGCCATGCCAATCAGACTGGCACATAGGGAGTGTAACCTCCAAATAGTTGGTGAACGTGTCGGTTCCTCGCCCAGCCGTCACCAAGATCTCCGCTATAACCCCACAACAACTCGGCGGCTACTCACGAGTTCAAACTGGGATAATGTGCAAAAGCACTCATAATTACCTGGGACAGAAGCATTAATCCCTATCAAAAGTGTGTTTATATCCTCCCACAAGCATGATTCAGTGCACAGGCCAGAAATCCACCTCTAGGCTTCATAAATAGTCCCCCCAATTCAAAGTAATCCCAGGCGTTATGGACTAATGGCCATCCGACTGTGTCTTCCAGGCAATGGATATAACACCCGCCGGATCTGAGTTTGGCCCACTGCCCCGCCTGGGGAAAGAAAGCCTCCCATTGGTTGGCTTCGGGGGAGGCCCATCCAAAGCCACGCCGCTTCTTTGGGCAAACGATTCCTTTGGGGAATCAGACCCAGTCTCATATCCAATAAGGTCATGCGGGGGTTGATCTGAAGGTCCTTTACATGGGATGACCGTTGGTTCGAAAACCCACCTTCTGGGAAAAGCTACCCGTGGTCATTTGGAGGCCAAAGCGAATATTATGGATCAACCCCCATTTATCCTCTACACAAACCAGACTTGCAAATCCCTAAACCACAAATCCAAGTCACCAAGTAAGGGCTACCAAAAGGAAACCAAAGGCAAATCAAAGAGAGAACCACATTCTCTCAGTCACAGTCTCTCAGTCGCCATGGTCTTGGGCCAAGGCGGGAAGGAGAAGTTGGCCAAATAGCCTCAGTTTCCGGCAAGTCTACAGCCTGATTCGTCCAAACTGGCACTTTACTCAGGTATTTCCCTGGTACACACAGAACCCCAGTCATTTCCGCAAGTCGACTGCAGCCTGATTCGTCCAAGCCGGCACTTTACCCGGGTATTTCCCTGGTATCGCACACAGAACCCCAGTCCACAACCTTGAACTGACTTGCCAAGGCATCTTAGGTTGCACAGGACAACTGGCAAGTAGCAAACATCGCTATAGAACCATCTGAGTTGCGCCAAAAACAAAGGCAGTTGGCTGAAGGTTTCTTATCAAAAAGGGAACAAGTTCAAGATCGACTGCATATGTCCATAGACTTTGTTCCTTGTATGAACCTCCAGCTTGTGGGGTAAGAAAGGGAAAACATAACCACTACTCATGGCCTACTTTGAGAAGACGGTCACAAAGGGTCCGAAAATAGATTCCCATGAGTTCATTGGGTTCACCCGTTTCTTGGCCTCTGCCCAGATGGGTGCGGAATGTTTAGTAACCCTCGTTTCAAGAACTTACAAGGGCAACTGAGCACTCAACTGAGGGTGAAGCAGGCGTTACCAACCACGTGGCTGAACCCAACATAAACACCGGGCACCGCGATCAGCAAGACACAACACAAAAGTCAGCACCGTCCCGACATCACCAAACCACCACCACCGAAACTCCTGGACATCGCCGAGACACCAAAACACCAAAACACTGCCGGACACAACCAAAACACAACTGGAACACTACTAATCACACCATGGAGACACCCGCCGAGACACCACTGGGACAGCACCGGGACAGCACCGGGACACCACCCGCCAACACATGTATCACCCACCACCCGCCACCACCGCCCACCGGGACAAAAAAAAAACTGGGGCACGACGGGCCACCAGCAAAGACCCCGCCAGTACGCGGACACCGCCAATCCCGAAAAGCAAGCAACAAGCAAACAAACGGACGAGCAAATAAATAGAAAAAAAGAAACAAACAAACGCAGGAACGAACAAATGAACGCACGCAAACACACGAACACACAAGCACAAGTAGCAGCACAAACACAAACAAAGAGCTCAAGCTCAAACACCGGCACACAACGCAAAAAGCAAAACACAAGAACACACAAAAAAGAAACAATCAAACAGGAAACAAACAAACAAAAAAACAAACCAGCAAACAACCAACCAACCAACCAACCCACCCACCCACCCACCCACCCACCCACCCACCCACCCACCCACCCACCCACCCACCCACCCACCCACCCACCCACCCACCAACCCACAAACAAGCAAGCAAGCAAGCAAGCAAGCAAGCAAGCAAGCAAGCAAGCAAGCAAGCAAGCAAACACACAAACACACAAAGAATCACACAGCACACAATCAAAAAATGAAACAACCAACCAAACAACAAGCCAGCCAACCAACCAATCAACCAATCAAACAAACAAACGAAACCATCCAATCAACCAACCAACCAACCAACCAACCAACCAACCAACCAACCAACCAACCAACCAACCAACCAACCAACCAACCAACCAACCAACCAACCAACCAACCAACAAACGAACAAAAGCGAACAAAAGCGAACAAAAGCGAACAAACAAACAAACAAACAAACAAATTAACTAACTTGTTTCAAACAAACCAACCAACCAACCAACCAACCAACCAACCAACAAACACACACAAACAGACAGACAGACAGACAGACAGACAGACAGACAGACAGACAGACAGACAGACAGACAGACAGACAGACAGACAGACAGACAGACAGACAGACAGACAAACAGACAGACATACAGACAAACAAACAGACAGACAGGCAGACAGACAGACAAACAAACAGACAGACAGGCAGACAGACAGACAAACAAACGACACGCCGCAACAAGAGAGGACACGGCAGGCCAAAACAAGACACGACACAACACGGCAGGTCAAAACAAGACACGACAAGACCAAACACATGACAAGACACGAGATGACAAGACAGCAAACAAACAAAAGCCGCGTGGGTTTCTCGAGGGCCCAGGCCAAGTGTCTCCAGCATTGGATGAGAGGTGCCGGACACGGCCTCTCCGAGCCATCCACAGATTTCCCACACAAAACTCCTTATGCCGCGAAAGGACACGAGGAAATTGGTGGGTCTCTGGGTGCTTGTGGGAAATGTTGCTGGGCCCCCGATGTCCTCCACAGATCTTCAGACGGGTAGAAAGTGGGTGCCTAGCAAAGGACAACTCGCGGACCTAGCAATGCCCTACCTTTTTGGTTTGGTCTTTGTCTTGACTAGGTACTCCAGTGGAGAGATTAGAATAAGGGTACCCTTTTGGCACACGGCGGGCGACGAGTTCGCCAGCTGACGGAGGGGCATGCCGCCCAACCATCTGAACAGGCCTGGTGGGACGGGTGCCCACCAGTGACACATACCACAGCCATCGCTGTGGAGAAAAGATCTGGCACTCAACGCGGTGAGGATGAAACATAAACAGGGGCTGACGGCATCAGGTCACAAGCGTAGTCAGCAAAGCATCCACGGCATTGAGCCGGGACTGCATGGTTCGCTTCATCGGGGCTTGCCAGTAGGACAACACGATGCCCTTCAGCACAATGCCCAGGGCGCCAAGCATCTGCACAAACTTCACCATGCCATTGAGAACCCCACACTGCCAAGCGGATTAGGAAATCTGCTTGTACACGTACCCAAGTCAGGAAAGGCCAGCATCCAGGGCCGCACAGGCGCTAAGAAGGCAAAGCCAAAGCCAGCTCCCACCACCACTGCAACCACTGTACTGCTAGGCGAGGAAAGTAAACGGAAAGGCCCGAGGAAAGTCGGCATAAAATGCTGTTGCTGGGCACCGTCACGTTGAACAGCTACCGGTTGATTATCAACCCCACAAGTCCGGTAGATGAGGATGTAGCAACGCCCAAGTAGTAGAGAAAAGCCGAAACACTGTACAACTGTAGGTCTCCAGAGAGGCAAAATCACCAAGGCTACAAGGAATGTAGAGCAGCAGCACCACACAGTATAAATCACTGCCGGAAGTGGAACTCCCGGGGAGGGACCATGAGGTTTGCACCCGGCACCTGGGGCATCAAATCGCCACCATGCAGTGAGAGGAGGGGGCCGAAGAACAGGGCCCATCCCTAACGCAGGGATGGGCACATGCAGCGGAACCCCACCAAAGCAATCCACACACCAGGACCAAAGCGAAGCAGCCATCAACGAAAGAGACCAAGCCAGGGGAAAGGGCGACACCACCAAAAAGGGGGAACAGCACGCCAACAGCACAACGGGCACAGCAGGGAGGCCACGAGGGGGCCCCGCACACGAAAAGCGGGGCACTGTGGAGGAGACCACAGCTTGGTGGACGACCAACGCACCATGGAGTGTCGCAGGTCCCCGGGGGCCCTACTCCCTGAGCTGAATGGATTTGGGCCAGACAGCTATAAGGGTACCCTTTTTTCTGTAGTCTATTTTCGTAGGGGAACCCTCCCCAAAACACGGGTTAAGAAGGGGCACCTAGCTGTGGGACCTAGCTGAGGTTCGGTGTTGCGGTTTGGAGCAATCTTGCATCGCGCACGTACACGGCACAGGCCACCAGCCAGCATCCACGTCATCCCCTTGCCAGCAGCTGCCACTGCCAGTATCCAGGACAAATGAGTGGCTCTGAAAGGCAGGCATCCCCTTGCTTCAATGGTTTGAAAGGAAAATCATCCCCAAGTAAC